TGATGGCAAGTAGTCACTTCTTTACCAGATTTCTGTAACAGGCAGTGAATTAAAACAAAGTTTGAAAATGTGAGATGTCAGGTACTCTTTCAATTACATAAGAAAGCGAAAGCTACGTTTAAAGAACAGTAAGGCGTTTAAAGAAACATGCACCACAGAGAACAAATACTGCCAAACAAACATGGCCAACACAAACACCGTTATTCTTTAGGTTTCAGAAATAAAAGTTAGACATAAAATAGATCTCAATAAAACTGATTTAAAAAGAAAAGACAGAAATGAAAGCTGTGGGGTACAGACAACCACAGACTACACTCTTGAGGCTAGAGAAGCAGCAGCCTGGTGTGTGCCGGGGTGGGGTGGGGGGGCAGGCCTGCTGCAGAACTCAGCATCTTCACCACAGGCAACCAGGATGGCCCTTCTCTGACTGGGCACAAGGTCACCACAGCTAATCGAGGATAGCTAAGAACTGATCAAAGGATTGATAATAGTGTATTGGAAATCCAGGAAATGTGATTGTCATTACTTTCAGAAAATAAACAAGTGTTCACATTTATCTACAAGCCTATCAAATCGTAGGTCAGCCATTCTGTCAAGTCAGATTAAGAGGAACATACAATTCTTTCACTTAAGAAGAGATGGCCTGCCCTAGCTGGCTTCACTCAGTGGTTGGAGCATCAGCCCTCGTACTGAAGGGTCCTGGGTTCGATTCTGGCCAAGGGCACATACTTTGGTTGCAGGCTCCATCCCAGCCCCGGTCAGGGTACACATGGGAGGCAACTAATCGATGTTTCTGTCTCTGTCTCTGTCTCCCCCCTCCCTTCCACTCTCTGAAAAGCAAGGGAAAATATATCCTTGGGTGAGGATTTATTAAAAAAAAAGAGATGACCTATCAAAAACATTTTTTTAATGTCTTTATTAATTTCAGAGAGAGGAAGGGAGAGGGGGAGAGAGACAGAAACATCAATGATGAGAGAGTCACTGATAAACTGCCTCTTGCATGCTCCCCACTGGGGATTGAGCCCACAATCCAGGCATGTGCCCTCACTGGGAGTTGAACTGGGATCTCTTGGATCATAGGTTGATGCTCAACCGCTGAGCCATACGGTCTGGCTCTAGAACATTTCTTGATCACCTACTACATGAAGGAAGCAACAAAGAAATGTGACACTCCCAATACATGACCTGTAACTGCGAGATGTTCACAGGGCAGCTGGGAGCCACGAGGGCAACTTGGTCTGCTCACAATGCTGGATGCTTCCTCACTTACTTGTCCCTCAGAATTCATCTCCACAACAAAGTCACAAATTATGTATCATCATCCCAATTTTTAAAATGAGGACACACACTCACAGAGGCTAAATGATTTGATCAGGGTCATAAAACAGTTATGTGCCAAAGTTAGAATTTGAAATTAAATCTAATGCCAAGACACACACCTGTTGTACTGTCTATTCTAGTGGTTCTCAATGAGAGGGAATCTTGCCTCTTTGAGGATATCTGATAATGTTTGGAGTCATTTTTTTTAAAAAATATATTTTATTGATTATTGATTTCAGAGAGAGGAAGGGAGAGGGAGAGAGAGAGATAGAAACATCAATGATAAGAGAGTCATTGATCGGCTGCCTCCTGCATGCCCCCTGCTGGGGATTGAACCGTGATCTCCTGGATCCTAGGTCGACGCTCAACCACTGAGTCATACCCGGCTGGGCTGGAGTCATTTTTAATTGTCACAACTGGAGGTGGTGGTGGCTGATACAGTCTTCTAGTGGGTAGAGGCCAAAGATGCTGCTAAACACCCTACAAAATATCAACCCAGTGCCAGGGTTGAGAAACTTTGGCTTATAAGACCCTGCAATAGTTAGGAAAAAACCAAATGCAGACCACAGGCATCCTGAGGAGGGAAAATACACCACTTTTAACTGGGGGAGTATGAGAAGCCTTCATCACATAAGTGGTATTTTGTTTTCAGTCTTTAGCTAAAACATGGGTAGAAAAGAAAGCATGGTATTTTAAGCAGCCTAATCCAAAAGAAATGATCAAAGATGTAGAGCTAAAAAACAGCAAGGTGAGTACTCTCTAAAATACCTACCAAAGAAAACTAGTAAAAATTTATTAATTAAAATTCTGGAAAATCGGCATGTATTTATAAATGATTGGGACATTTTTGCATATTCATAAGAAATTAGTAACTTTGTTGACTCCAGAAGAGAAACTGGGTACCTGAGGGCATATATTTTAGAAGAGTTATATGTATTACCTATTTAAAAGATTAATTAATTAATGGACAAAAATTTACCTGCCAGGACGTAAGACCTGAATCAGGGTTTGTAAGAGAAAAATATGGGCTGATACCAGATGACAAAAGAAGGAAGAACAGTGATTTAACTTACTGGACATAGGTGTACCGAGTACAATTCCAAAGATATTACATGCTGCTTGGCAAGCTAGTAAAAGCACGGGCTCCAAACCTAGACTATCTGAGTTTGAATTCCTGCTGGAACACATAATCCTTTTAAATTTACTTCCCGACTAGGGGCAAGTTATTTAACCTCTCTATGCCTCAGTTGCACTTACATAAAATCAGGAGAATAAAAATACCTATTTCATAGAGTTACTGTGAGGATTCAATGAATTAAAATTTGTGAAGTACTTAGAACTATGCCTGGCACACAGTAAGCACTGAGTAAATATTTGTAATTATTGCTAGCACTATCCCTTTAATCTACAAGGAAGGTACTTTTATTATTCTCATTTTTATTGATGAAATTGTGGCCTAAGTAGGTTAAATAAGTTGGCCAAAGTCCTTTAGCTAAAGTAGGGCATATATGTCACCAAAACACAAACTCTTTATCACTCCATATATTGCTTCATGAAAGTCAACAACATTAAGCTTTAGACACAACGGGCAATGGAAAGGCACTAGAGGTTTCCATATCGGAAATATAAATTATTAATGCCAAGTTTTACTTAGAAAGATAACTGCCAATGGAAAGGATAATAAACTGGAATAGGGTAGTAGAAGATGGGCTAGACTCCGGGAGGGCAGAGGGAAGCCAGTGAACCAAGGATGGTGGTGCAGGAGATGGAAGGAACATCAAAAGACACAGAAGAGGAGACATCAAAGGCCAGGTGACTGGTGATGGGTGGCAAATGACAGAGCCACAGGGATGACTGAAATGAGGTCATCCTGTAAAGGCAATGGAGGACACATGGAAAGAATATTAGTAAGCTGGCCCTGCCTTGTCTTATTCTGGAAAGGGATGCAACTGTGCAGGTCTATTAATAAAGGATCTTCCCAGTACTACCTAGGAGTCAAAAATACTAAGCCCATAGGCTGAATCAGAGGGAATGAAGGGAAACTCAGGTACATAGGTTATTAACATAGTAATAAATATAGTAACTTATTACTTTGAAAGTTAAAAGTTTAGGGAGGGAAAAGTCCAGACTCCATAGTATTTTTCTTAAATAAAATTAAAGATGGATTTCACACTAAAACAAAACTTCTACTCACAAAGCCTAAAAGAACAAAATTTCATCTTGAAAATTTTCTAGAATAAAACACAAGAGCTCTTTAGTTTCCAAACCACAGTGTACGTGATTCACAGGAGGATAATACATTCATTAAATCATTTCTTCAATTGGCAAGCACGCATTAAAGTTCCATTAATTTCCAAGATTTCATCTTTAGATTTACAGACTCTTTTACTTGCTAAGAAAGGCTAGACTTTGTTTTCACATTCTGGAATACAAAAAAATATCAGTGGTTCATCTGCTAATGCCCTTTCTTACACAGCCAAGCCTGAGTTGTGGTAACATGGTCCATCAACAATGGCGACCGCCAACATCTTTTAAAGTATGGGGTTCAAGAGAATTATAGAACCTGTATGAAATATATGCAAGATGGTACAGAATTCTGGACCAAGGCCTATATTTTAGGTATGGAACCCTCAGGCAAATCTAGTTCAAGATATGGACCTGGGGGAAAGGGACAGGCTCCAAAGCACTCAGTCCTCTTCTCAAACAAACCAAAGAACCTCCCTGATACATAATTTCCTCTGAAGAAGTGTCCACAGTAATTATCCAGTCTATCAGAGTAGGTAACCCAGAATAAGTCATTATCTGCAACATTCCTACGTTAGGCTGTAAGGGCAATACAGAGTGATATATTCCATGCAGAAAACTGAATCTCGTAAACATTTCTAATTAGAAAGAGATCTTCCATATATGTATACTTTCATTTTATAAATACTTGCTAGAGCATCATCACCAAACCAGACCCAGCCGAACATTTTCTTTTGACAAAGCAACTGCACAAAGCACAAATCTAATACGATACTCCCTATATAACAAACATTCCCTATTATCTGTCATTTACCCTTCATCTAATACCTAGAAAAAGCAAATGAACACAAATTACTTCCTTTGAATTATTTTCTAAGGAATGAATGGAGCATTTTATGATAATGATATTGATAAAACATATGTTCCCTATACCATATCAATACCTTAAAAAGATGAATTCGCCCAAAGAAATGTATGCCTGATATGTACATACCGCTCCCTTTACAAAACAGAATGGTATATCATTAAATATAAAGCTGATTTAACAAGTTCAAATTGTTATACACTACAATATATGCATATGTTTTAAAAACAAAAATTACATATATATTAAAACATATATATGTGTGTGTGTGCTTTTGAAAAACAAAATAGGAATTCATGTTGAAAGCCCAGCCAGTTAGGTATTAGGGCAGGGGTGGGGAACGCCCAGCCCTCAGGCTGTATATGGCCCAAGAAATCATTTGGTCTGGCCCTGCAAAGGCAACTGCAGGCAGGACTCAAAATTCAATAAATCTAGGAGCTTTTTTCATAGCTAATTTTTAAGTTGATAATTTTGTATGGCCTGCAAGTGATGTTATAAATATCCAAATGGGGCAGAAAAAAGGTTCCCCACCCCTGCATGAGGGGATGGGAGCTGCCCTGGGGAGCCTCACCTGTCGGATGATACTCTTCACACAGCGCACGGGAAGGCCTTGATAGTTGGACTTGATGATCCACTTGAGGAGATGGTGGCCAAGCACTTCGAAGACCATGCAGACGTCTGGGACATGGTTAAGGATACATTTCCTGGACTGACTCAATTACTAAAGCAGCATCATTGTGGCACTTGGCAAAACATTTATTTCTTCATAAAATGCAACCTCAGTACCATTAATAATACCTAAAGTAATCCTTTCCTGGTTCCCACCTAAATAAAATGATTTACTAAGTACTTAGTAAGTGCCATATATTACTAACGTGTACTTGCAACCACCTCAGGAAATAATATACATATCCCCATACAGAAATGAGGAGAGCAAACCTCGGTTTAAAGAAGTATCCTGCGTTACAGTTCCAAAGGTGGCAGCCTCCTGACTCAATCCCACATTTACCTGCGCTCTCGCTCATTTCAGCACCCTCCTCCCGTGATGACGTCTTAATGAAAATGAGCAAGACTAGAACCTCATAGAAATTAATGAGAGAGAAAAATAAAGACCTCCCATCTTAAGTGTCCTGTCTGCCTGCCTAAATTTCTATTCCACAGGCACATAACACACTTTATGAAAAAGAACTTAAATGCAGTGAAGACATTTAATCTTTTCTTTCAATAATATTTTTCAGTGTGTAACTAGATCAATTTTAATACTGTAGACAGTTTCAAAGAATGTATGATCACAAGATAAGACACGGCATTAAGATCAACCTATAATAATGAAATCTCAGGAATCTGAGTGGCCTTTTTTTAACAGAAATTCTCATCAACCACCAACACTCCAGAACTATGGCCCATCATACAAATATATTTATATCATTTGTACAGGAAGATTTAAAATGGCTCTGAAACCATCTGAGAATGCTTTATTCATCCTTGGAGGCCTATAGATGAATTATTAAAGAAGGTTAGTTGATTTAATATATTTTACAATATCTGCATCTACCATGTCATCACAATAACTACTGCTTTAAATATTATTAAGAACAATATTTCTACAGTGTTAGAGAACATGGGAACCATAGATCTGTGCACAGATAATCTAAAACCAGTTTCCCAGGCATATTACAAAAAATGGTAACAGACACAGAGCCACTTAAAGTTCAAGATTTCTACATTATGACTGGCCTATGTCTTCCCAAAATCACTGACAAATCTAAACCAGGATGGTTTCTTACCATTTTATTTAACAATAAAAATAGTCACTAGAATGTATATATTTTAAAAAAACTCCATTTACCTACAAATCAGATGGTTTCTCCAAAGAAACCATCTCCCTGTCAGCTGTCCCAGGAAATGCCTTGCAGATATGATGCAAGAGAAGGGGCTGCCCTGCCCATCCATAAATAAGCAGGCTCACTTGGACAGCAGGGGCAGAGAAGGACCATTTCTATCTTCCTATCCATCACGAGGGGAAAATGCCCTCAGCAGTTACCTGCAATGATACTGAGGCAAACAGCGAGGTGGCATTAGCCGTCATGGGTACTTGCTAGTACCCTTAAATCTGCTCTAGAAGAAATACAGGCATACCTGTATTATTGCACTTCACGTATGTTGTTATTTTACTAACTGAAGGCAAGATTCTTCCTCCACCAACAAAAATATTAGGACTTGCTTTATTTCAGTGTTCTGGAACTGAACCAGCAATCTCTCTGAGGTATGCCTGTATAAAAACCTCAATATATACGGTATGAGGGGAGTGCTTCCCTAAGAAATTAAGACTTAGTAGATGAAGAGAAAGGATGTCATTGTGGGGTTTAAGCTGAGATTCACCTTTGTCCTCAGGTTTATGGAGCTTCAGCTGGATAAATATCAAAACACTGGATCTGTTCTAAACATGATATAAAAAAACAGCTAAAGATCAGGAAGGAGAAGACTCTAGGTCCTGACATATCCCTGGTACTCATTAGTCACAGGATTCTGAGCAAGTGACTTAATATGCCTAAACCCTGAGAAATGAAGGTACAGTAGTCCCCTTTGTCCGAGGGAGATATGTTCCAAGACACCTAGTAGATGCCTGAAACCACACGTAGTACCAAGCCCTACATAATCCTTTGATTTTCCTTATATATACATACATACATACCTATGATGCTTAATTTACAAATTAGGCACAGTAAGAGAATAATAACAACTAACGATAAAATGGAACAATTATAACAATATACTGTAATAAATGTTATGGGAATCTGGTCTCTCAAAATATTTTTTTAAAAATTAACCAATTGTGCTGTTTATTATTTTAATTAACAAAAGTTCTACAAGTGTTATTACCAAAAATCTTGCACAAGAGAAGTTTACTAAATAAAGGCAGGATGCCCGAAGGGACCCCTCTATAGCTAAGGAAAAGAGTGTCATGCAGAGGGCATGCTGAAGAGAGAGTAAGCCAGAGAAACACAACTGAAATAGTTCATCTTCATAATACACAAATACAGAAGGGAGAGAAAAGGGAGCACATATTTAACTGAAAGAGTTGACAATTTTATTTTCACATTTCACAATACAAATGAAAATTGGGGTTTTTTTTGTCCTACTCCCCTCCAAAACTGTTCTCTCTTAGATAGAAAGGGAATGCTTCTCCCTGTCGTGCTGTTAGAAAACACCCAGAGTCACAGCACTGCGATCTCCTGGTGAAGTAGAACAGTAATATAAAACTGATAGAAAGAGGCTCCCCTCTCTCCTTATCTGTCTGGTCCAGTCATTCCTAGCCGAATGGGCACCATCATGCAACGGGCGGGAGGTCTCATCATTGGGGGCCCAGGTGTCATTGGCATGTGCCCTCCCACAGGCGGCCTCATTCCAGGAGTAGGTCCCACTGGCATTATCCCAGGAGAAGGACCCATCATTGGCATCAAGGGAGGGTCCCCGACATGGGGTGCTGGCATCATCCCAGGGCTAAGTGGACCTGGAAGATTGGGGGGGAGGTGGGATCATTGCTCCTGCACGAGGAGGAGGAGAGAATGGAGTAGGAGATATCTTTCCTTGCTGAAATGCTGTGGTTGTTTTTGTCAATCAGGCTCTGAGCCTGCTCTTCCATCCATTTCTGATAGTAGTCTTTCACGGTCTCTTTGTGTTTCCTACCACTGCAGTGTGTCTTTCTCACAGGTGGAGAGTCATGGGTGAGGTACGTATCGCAGTAGTCACAATAACACTTAGGCATGTTGTCCTGCAGGCCGTTGATCACTCTGTTCCGCGCAACCGAAGTCTCTCAAAATATCTTAATGTGCTATACTCACCCTTCTTCTTGTGATGATAATACAATGCCTACACAATGAGATGAACTGAGGCAAATGGCATAGCATTAGGCTACTATAAGGGTTACTTGAACACAAGCACTGTGATACCAGGGGCAAGTAGTATATACAGAATGGATACGCTAGACAAAAGGATGATTCACATACATCCCAGGCAAGACAAAGCAGGAAGGCATGAGACTTCATCATGCTATTCAGAATGGTGGGCAATTTTATAACTATGAATTACTTCTGGAATTTTCCATTTAATATTTTCAGACTGCAGGTAACTAAAACTATAAAATTAAAACCTCAGGTACAAGGGGACTGCTGTATCAGCTGCCTCAGGCAAATAAAAGGTTATCTGAGAGGATCCAATATGAAAATATGGAAAGAGCATTCTGGATACTAAAGGTATTATCTCTTCTCTCCATTTGTGCTATCAGCTCTGACCTCCAAGTCTTGGATTACTCTGCTGTCACTGATCCTCTGAGGCTGCCCTTTACCAATGCCCCAGGCAGAGGGAAGGTGATCCTTCCCACAAGCCCCAATCACCTCCTCCTCAAAACTAACAAGAATGCAAACTTACCAGTAACTCAGTCAAAACTAATATTCTCAAAAGAGAAAGGGAAGCCATAAGATGCCTTTGCTCTTTCTTCTTGCTAACCACATTTCTTTTCTGGTAAGACCCAGAATTAGAGCAAAGGCTTCCCTAACGAACCTTACAGCTGACTAAGAAACTTTCATCTTTCAAAAATCACTAATTTCCAGCAAGATTCCTTTTTGAGAAAGCAAATAGTCTGTATGCTACTCTAATGAAAAAGTTAAAAAAGTATTGAACAATTTAATTTTTAAAACAATTAAAGCAAATTTATACAGACTTATGAGGAAGAGAAGATACTTAGGAGAAAATAACCTTGTTTGTTGAAATGCGATTCAAACACGCCTTTACAAAGTCATTTTTCCATTATAAAGAAAATTTGTATCAAGTATGAAATGATACCAAGAAACTTTTTTTAGTTTATTTGATGAGCTTTGAGGTCTTTTTAAGTTCAGATGTTTTCAAAGATGTAAACAGACGTTTGTAGAGGTAAAAGACTGTTAGGATTTGTTTTGAAATAATTCAGCAAGAGATAAAGTGTAAATAAAGCAACTGTACCGTTAATTCTTGAATCTGGGTGACAAATTTATAGAAATCCACTGCAGTACACACTCTAATTTTATGCATGTTGGAAACTTTACATTACAAATGTTTTTGAAGAAAAATAATGAAGGTCTCTTTCCACTGAGGACTGACCAATGTCAGATTTACCGACAAGTACAGAAAATGTATCACTTTAAGGCAGGCTACTAAGCCAGGACAAGTGGAAAGGAAAACTGAGAAAGATAGTTAAATGGCCAAGCAGTTCACAGCCATCTAGTAAATCGCAAAATCTTATCTTCCCTAACCGAGGACACTTAAGAGTAAGTGGATGGTTTATGCTTCTCCCCACCAGAGGGTAAATAGCTTAAATCACTCTACTCAGGTAGATATATAGTAGAAATCCAATCAGTGCCACTTATGCCAACCACACCCCAGAATAGATGAAGGGAATAAATCTCATTTTGGCACCTCAGCATAAAGTTGATGAATATTCTACCAAGATCCTCCACTAAGACCTTCCCTAAACTCCCAGCCTTTAAAATCCTCAAGACATGCCCAGCTAGGCGTGGCTCAGCAGTTGAGCGCCGACCTAGGATCCAGGTGATTGGGGTTCAATTCCCGGTCAGGGCACATGCCCTGGTTGTGGGCTCGATCAATGACTCTCTCATCACTGATGTTTCTATCTCTCTCTCTCTCTCTCCCTCTCCTTTCCTCTCTCTGAAATCAATAAAGATATATTTTAAATAAATAAATAAATAAATAAATAAATAAATAAATAAATAAATAAATAAAATCCTCAAGACAAAGGATCCAGGGCTCGCTCTCCTTCCTGGGAGCAGGCCCATGCCTTTCTTCCCCCACAGGCCCGCATCTCCTAAACTCAAAGGGTCCTCATGAGACCTGCAACCAGGGAACCTATGGGTAGTGGCAGCTCATCCCAGGCTAACCTCCTGAATCTATCTCAAAGGCCCCATTTTCTCTGACTTTCCAGTGAGCCAAAGCAGCCCCAACTTGGCTCATTTCTTTCTTATTATGTTTCTAGTGAGCCAAAGCAGCCCCGTCTAAGCTCTCTCCTGTTGCTTCTTCTACGCTAAGCCCTTTCTTCTTTCACTGTCCCCAACGTTAATAAACATATTCTCAAAATCACCTGGACTTGTGTTGTGAAATCTTTCCTACACAAAGTCAAGAACCCACACACTACAGGGTGGCCTGAGGCAGACCCACTCAGGGAAGGTCCCCTTTCTGGTAATAACTTTACTTTCACCAGACTTTTCCAAAGTAGACAAACCAAACAAAACCAACATACTTCCATCTTCATCTGGCAGAAAGATGATACTCTGCAGGATCAAGTGTGACTTGTGACTTTGCTATGTTGACATTAGCAGAACATTTTTCCTTTTATTGCCTCAATAAATTCTTTGAAGCTACTGAAGGACACCTAGCCCTTTGTACAGATTTTTAAAAGTTTAAAGCAAAAAGAAGTGCTTCCATCTACCAAGGTAAAAATAAACTTTACTAGAATTAATAAAAACAATTAAAATAATTACTCCGTGCAAAAATCAAGTGCTGTAGAAATAATTTTATAAGATGTTACTACACCAAAACCCCCAAAAGGCCCTTGCAGAGCACTTCAGACATACCACCTTACATCATGATTATACTGGAGGCTTTATGTGGAGAATGACACAGCAGAGCAAACCAAGTTTATATAAGCTGAAACATTCCCATTTTTCAAAAGTGAAAAGAAAAACTATAGTGTAAGTCAGCCATTACGAAGCAACAGAACTGTCAGAAAGGATACGTATTCCATTCATGCCTGAAATCTTAAAGTCATCAATTAGCTGTACTACCATGTCTTTATTTGGATCACTGGGATCACTTTCTCGAACCTATAGAAAGAAAAATAAGTCAAGAACAGAAGTGTTTATGACTGAATGTCATTTCCATTATACCAACCAAAACGGTTTTAATATCAGTGATTTTTTTGAAAACAAAAGATTCAGTCTTTGAACTTATAAAACATAAAATCAATTTTAATTTTGTAAGCCCCAGAAAAATCCGTCTGTAAAATTTTAAGTCATTAATTTGTCTTCTATCATTCACGTTTTTGCTGTACTTACACATTTGAGCAATTTTATTTCATCCAAGGCTGTCTCCGTATAATGCTGGGCACTTTTTACAACTTTCATTGCAACAAATCTTTTCCCCCTTCAAAAAAATTTTAAAAAATATTATAAGCAGAAGTGATAATTATAATGAGATCTATCCAATAAATAGAAAGTTTTAAGCTTTCCTTAAAAATAGTGCTTTTTAATTGTGAGTCAATAATTCAGCAGCAGAATCATGCGTTGAAACAATCTCTTATGCTTTGCTTTAATGTTTTTTCCTCATAAAATAAGGTAAACTAGAAAATGTCATTCATCACATATAGTAGGATAAGGACTATAATGTAACATTTTTGTTTCACTTCACATACACACACACACACAAAACAAATGTATATTTATACTGTGTCACAATAGTGTTTCATGCTATAGGTCATAGCTTTAAAAAACAGAAACCACTGATTTGAAAGGCCTATTTGTTTATATTTAAATGTTGTTTAGTATGGATGAACTTTTGGAAAAAATATGATCCAGATGTAGTTTCAATGAATGAGCCTCAGATATAAAACCAGAAGAAAATTAATATTTTAAGATAACAGGCAAATGAATTTCAAATGGGGGAGGGGAATGGCAGGTCTGTGCTTCACACTGCACAACAAAAGCAGGTGTGCCCCTCAGTCAGACCTTGTTATAAAATAAAGGTGATGAACTAGACCAGGAATCAAGTACACAAATGACAGAACACTTACTGCATATCCCAGCACAGCCAGACAGTAGAGAAGTGTCCCCATCCTAGCTTCCTAATAACGTGATACCGGCCATTGAAAAGGTCTCCAATTTTCACTGGATGATAGCCACCTTTTATTAAAAAAGAAATTTATTTCAGGAAAGTAATAGAATCTCATCTCTTCCTTTGACAGTTCTTGATACTATTAAAGAAAGCTATAGATAATAAAATCAGATGAAAATATGTTTAATATAACATTTTTCAAGAATATGTTTCATCAAAAGAAAAATGTCCTTTGCTTTTCTATTAACTTAATTAGAAGGGCAACAAACCACCCAGCACTCTGTAACACTAACTTAAGGTTTTATATTTAAGTCTAGGTATAAATAATATGCACACTAGCTCTTGACGTTTCCAAATCACCTTTTTTTCTTCTAAGCTGTAAGGTCAGTACAATATAATTCACCAAAATAAAGGATGTGTACTCTGCATAATTCTGCATACACTAACAAGGAATTATATAACTCACGGCAATTTACCCTCCAACACAGCTTGCTCCTCTCACGGTTCATCCTCCAACCTCTAACTCCTGCCTTGGAAACAGGCTGGAGAGGGAGAGAGGGTACCATGTTAAGGTAGACTCTTGGGGGAGGGAAGGATCCTTCACAGACATCTCGCACAAAAAGGCCTTCACTTTGCATTTTCAAGTAAAATATGCAGGTTACAAAGTAGCAGGTATAATAATTTAGCATTTTTGTGAAACAAAAAAGTCTAGGAGCATAGATGTTAGCAACAAACTTCTCTGGATATAAAATTACTTTTATCCTTTTTATCTTTTTCAATATTTTTCTGAAAGAAACATAATACTTTCCTATTTTATATTCTTTTAGCATTTACCACTTCTTTATTGCAAAGATGTTATTTTTCATTTTTTAAATCCGCAAAATTCTTACAAATCATGAAGATATAGATGTACAGATAACAAACTGACAGCTATCAGAGGGGAAGGGGTGTGGGTGTCTGGATGAAAAAGGTGAAGGGATTAAGCAAAAAAAAACCCCCAAAACACAAGTACATAAAACAAACAAAAAAAGAAACAAAAATAACAACTCATAGACACAGACAACAGTACGGTAATTACCAAGAGGGAAAGAGAGGAGTGGGCGCGGGGCAGGACAAGAGGGTGAAGGGGGAATAAATGGTGACAGAAGGAGACATCTTTGGGTGGTGAACACACAAGACAATACACAGATGATGCATTATAGAATTATACACCTGGAACCCATATAATTTTATTAACCAATGCCACTCCAATAAATTCAATACAAAATTTAAAAATACATAAATGGTTTGTGCCTACTTTTGAGCAGCTCAAAGCAGGTGCAGGAAGTACCTAAACTACATCTTTGAATACATCTGAAACTTTCATAGGACTAGGAGTAATACTTCAAGAAATACTATGAATATAAATACTTAAACTGTGTTGAATTAGTGAAGCAAAAATTTGAGCAAATTTTCTAAGACTCTCATTCTCATACCACTGCACTTGCTTTTCCTGGATTTTAATATCAAAGTCTAAAACAATCTTTTGGGTAAGAAATATGAACTAAAAGATAGAAATTATAAATAAAATACAGTAAATTACTTAATGGACGGATGGGTGTTAACAAAACTCATTGTGGTAATCACTTTGCAATATACATATATGTGGAATCATTAAGCTATACACCTGAAACTTTTACAATGTTGTATGTCAATTTACATCTCAATAAAACCTTCTTACTTAGAAGGTTAAACTAAAATTAAAATAGGCTCTGAGTTTACAATATGGTTTTCAAACCATTAAAATTAACATTAAAAGGGAAGAAAACTATAATTTTCAAGTATGAATTAGGGGCACTGTGCTAGTCACTTTATTCTCAAAACTACGTTCCATGAAACTAAAATAGCCCTGGCCGGGTGGCTCAGTTGCTTGGAGCATCATCCTTACACCAAAAGGTTGCGAGTTCAATTCCCATTCAGAAAGCATAGGGGAGGCAACCGATCAACGTCTCTCTCTCTCACATCGATGTTTCTCTCCCCACCCCACCCCCCGCCTTCCTCTCCCTCTCCCTTCCTCTTTCTAAAATCAATAAAAACATATCCTTAGGCCCAGCCGGAGTGTCACAGTGGTTGAGCATCGACCCATAAACCAAGAGGTCACCGGTCAGGGAACATACCTGGGCTACAGGCTTGACCCCCAGTAGGGGGTGTACAGGAAGCAGCTGATTGATATTTCTCTCTCTATCCTGCTTCCTTTTCCCTCTCTCTAAAATCAATAAAAACATATTTTTTAAAAAACCAAACATATCCTCAGGTGAGGACTGAAAAAATAAATTAATTAAATTTAATTTAAAAATAAAATAAAACAAAACATGTTGCAGGTATTCCACAGGGGAAGCAGAGGAGAGGAAAGGGAGAGGAGAAGTTCTGTCTGGGAAATGAGAAAGAACTTAAAGCAAAGCAGATTTCTTGGCCAATGTCTTAACATGCACTGGAAACCTCTGAGAGGAAAGCATGCTGCAAATTCCAGACACATTTGCCAATGAAACCATTTCTTCAAAAAACTAGTCACAATTTCACAGCACAAAGTACACAGGAAGCAATGATGTCTATATATTTCTTACAACCACTCCATAGAGTAGATGGGCTATTTCTTTCTTTTTTAAATCCTCACCTGAGGACATATTAATTTTTAGAGAGAGGTGAATGGGAGGGGGAGAGAGAGAAACTTCAATCGGTTGCTTCCCATACACCCCCCGAAAGGGGATGGAACCCACAACCCTTTAGTGCATGGGACAACACACTAACCAAATGAGCCACACCAGCCAGGGAAGAGGTAGATGGTGTTATTTCTATACTGATGAAGTGAACACAGTCTGAGAGACAGGAGGTAGTAGGTTCAGGCCTGGAAACTGGCTCTGACTCCAAAGTCCATGCTCTGTTCAACACCAGTAAGAAATGCATGCTAGCCCTGACCGAGTAGCTCAGTTGGTGGAAGCATCATCCCATATATCAAAAGATAGTGGGTTCCATCCCTCATCAGGGCACGTACAGGAGGCAGCCAATCAGTACTTCTTTTTTCTTTATCTGTCTATCTCTCCCCCGGCCCCCCAAAATCAATAAACATATCCTCAGGTGAGGGGGGGAAAAAAAAAGACAGACATGCACTCCATGTTTAACAACTGGAGGACTTTTTACCAGTCTTCGTATAATCTTTTGACCAGGGAATATTTTATAGCTTAATTAAAAACCATTTACTGCACAACTGCATATTACTGCTAACATTACAGTCTCTAAATTTAAAAACAACTTAATTAGGCATAAAGAAAAGAAACTTCTATCACTATTGTATGTTTCAGATTTGAATTCTCAAACAGCCAAGAGGGTACATGTGAACAAAAACAGAAGAGTCACTCTTTTCAATATAATCACCACATAAGCACAGCTGTTCCTTTTCTCAATGGGACTTTGAAAGTTGAACAAAATAAATTTACTATTTTAGTCCAGTTATCTCAGGAGCCCACCAGATACCTAAGAATATTATGACTAAAAATAGGACAACTAAACAAGAGGGACATAAAAATAAATTTTAAATACAAACATAAAAACAATTCAAAGACCTAAGCACTTATCCTAACTTTTATTTTGAAAACCTGACATATATTTTTCAAATTTATATTCTATAATTCTCATATGCAAACTCCCAGATTGCTACAGAAAACAAGTCTCCTCTGACCATTTTTCAATCTCTTTTCATAGAATGGTAACTAGAACTCATGCTGCCAGAGCAGACCACACAAGTACTCAACACCCAGGGAATTAGAGAAAATGGCCACTCCAATAATTCTCAGAAAATTCTCCAATTCTCTGAGATTAGCAAACAATGTGTCAGAATGGCTATTAGCAGTGGACACTGCATGAGTGGCCAATAAGAATGTCAAGCACACAAGGAATCTTGAGAAAAGTCACACACTAGACAAAAAAACCCTCCTCCTTTGCTGCTGAAGGAGAAAGCAGTAAAGGACAAGAGGGTCACAGCAGCGCTGGCACTGGACCCTGCGGAGGGCATCAGGCAGAGTGCGGGAGGTCACGCACAACGAACACAATGAATCGGGGGTCTGGCCGATATATAAAAACCATGCATTGATCACCTATAAGTTTTCCTTTCATTCTTTTTTTTTTAATCCTCTGCAGAGGATGTTTTTTCCATTGCTT